CAGAACAAGTATTTTCGGCTGTGAGTGTGCTGAATGTTCCTGATCTTGAAGTGCAGGCAGGCCCTGCAAACCCAGGGCTCTGATCGCCAGAAATCTACCTGCTGGAGGGGTGGAAATCCCCTTAGTTCTTCCCCCTAACTCATTACTGAAGGTTTTCTAGTTATTAATAAAATCTAAGAAACGGAAATTATAGTGAATGACTGATTATAAAGGTAACATTCTCATTTGTCATCCAAAAAATGTGGTCACTGTTATAAATTAACCACTTTGTAATTGGCTATACTACCAAAACTGCTTTTGATAAGACTGGAGTTATTTGTTATTCACTTCCTTCCATTCATTTACTTGAATAGAGGTCTCCAGAAACATAAAGCAGAGTTGGTTTCAGGCTCTCAAAAACTGTTAGGGAAATATTTCCAATGAGCGAATTCCCAACTGCTGCCCATTTCAGTGCTGTCACAGGGCCCATGTTATTAAATGGCAGAAATAACTCTCCCTTTCCACTGTTACATGATAGATCTGCCAAACTAGGATATTTATAACAGGCTCAACTCCACCAACAAGGAGACTCTCCCCTGGTTAGAGGTTCTATTGTCTTTGTACCTAGAAAAGGCCCTGGCATGTAACAGGCACTCAGCTGTTGGAGCAGGGCTGGATTGCACTTGGTACTAGTCACCCACACCCCGTACAATCTTTTATAAATGTGAAAGCCATAGTAAATGTACATACAGATTCTGTATGGGAAAAAATAAAAAAGTTGTTCCAGCAACCTTAAAGTTAGTAATATAAAGAAAACTGCTACTTAAAAACAAATACAAAACATAAAATTCATTTTAATCTATATATATCAAATACAGCCTTAGCACAGACATCTAACACATATGAAATGTACTTCGGGGACACAAACTAAACAAAGCAAATCCTCATTAGTATATTTGGCCTTAACCCTAACATCTTCTAAAATGAACTCATGATGGTTGAGTAAGGTGGGAAATAAATCACCTAACCTAGAACAGACAGATGAACGGCCCTAAGTCTATTAGGTCTCTGCAGACTGGGTATTCACCATTCTGAGTCTTGCCAAAGATGGTTCTGCAAATAGCTTACCTCGGTCAATTATATCTTTTCCATAGTTACCTTAATGTTTTGGTGATTGTTTTCATTTTCTATTGCTTTTTTTCTTTCTTTCTTTTTTTTTTTTTTAATTATTATGGCTTCTTGCTGCTGTTGTATAGTGGCATACAACACAGATCAGAGATTTTCATTTCTCAGAGAAGTTTCTCTCCCTGAGAAATTGGCACTTTGATCCTCAGTTGGAGTAACAGCTCCATATAAATGGATCCTCCCAACACTGTTACCAATCTTACAGCTTATCCAATTCCAGCGCTTTGGCCAAAAGAGTGCCCCCTGACTTTAAATCTTCTTAACCGTTCCTACCACTAAATTCTTAACAGGTACATGTGTGTATGTAGTTTACATACATGCTATACTGTAAGTCTGTACACACACACACACTCTCTCAACCCAGCAAAAGTGAAATTTCTCTCTTGAATAGAAAGTAATTATAAGGGTATGAAAACAAATGCTAAAAATAACTATTTTACACTTAGACCGTAAAAGTTTTAAAGGTAAAGTGATGACATAAGACCTAAGAGATCAATACATCATATATGATTGTCATATATGCATGGTGTGTGTAAATTGATTTTTAATTATTTATCTCTGTAATCAGAAAATAAAAGAGCTTACCTTTTTATACTGAGATCACAGCTTACAGTCACTATATTTCAGCCTATTTTATACAAGTGATATGGCTACGAAGGTCCGAGGAGAACGAGAATAAAGTGAGATAAACGTGCTGAAAACTGCTTAAAAGTATTAACCTGAAATACACAGAGGGTCCAATACCAGTTTTAAAAATACATTAACAAGGTATTCCCAGCTCTTCAATTAATAACGGTGACTGACTGATTCATGATTTTCAAACATTCACCCACGTTTAAAATGAAAAGGCTAATACTGGCAAAATCTACCAAGCTCTTTGTTGCTCAGGTTAGCAATTTGAGAGAGACCACAAACAACTTCAGGAACCCTGTAAACCCAACTCTGTGCTTCACCGTACCATGCACTGCATCTAGTCAGCATGAGGTATGTTGGAAATCTAGTGGACCAATTACCTTGCACAAGAGATGGGGTGCTCCTGCAACCTGGAGAAACACAGGCTGCAAGCCACATCCCGGGCTGGGCGCCGGCCCCATGCAAAGGATATGGCTTCAAGGAGGACCCTTGTCTCTGAGAAATTAGAATAGTGCTAACTGACGCAGTTAGGAACGCAACTATCTCATCAAGTGCTAAAAAAGTTTAAAAATTGTCAGAGGATAGCACAGCTCACACACTAATTCTAAATTCTACATTGGTCTGTAAACTCCCTGACAAAAGACTACGCTAAGAGGGGCTAAGTAGAGATATTGCTAAGTTTCCAAAGGAAAAGTTTTAAAACAGACACCGTGGCTTTGAATAAGTATTGCTCTTCTTGAAATGCTCAGTCACTGCTTTCAAAAAGAAGGTGTCAGAGTGGTATATCTGAAAGCTGGAAAGCCTCAAGGGGTCACATTGTTCTCAAGACCAAGACATAGAAATTGCCATTTCAAGCCAGACAACCTGATGGTTCTAGAAGTCAGAGAAGAAATCTTGAGGGCCCAAGTGAATAATAAATGGTGCGACGCTCAGAGGCTGGCAATAGGGGCTGTCAATGAAAAAACCACCTACAGTGGAGAAAAGAGCAGAGAAGCAAAACTGTATGTTAATGTCATGCCATTTGGTGAAGCCAAGAGCTTCATTTATATTTCCCTGCTCTTTCAGCTGTAAGTGGAATTTTCATTACAAAATGAAGGGATGGGAAGGGCAAAAGGGTGAGGGGGACACTTAATTCATTACAGAATTTGAACAGTTGAACTTGCATGGTTACCACTTCTAACAAAGGACTGACAGCTCAATTATTTTAAGTAAAGCAGAGAAATGTAAAAGTTTGCAGCAACTGGGCAGGTTTACAACATGGTTAGTAACTTCCAACAAACAACAAAATTAAAAAGAAAAAGAAAAAAAAAAAAGACTTGGTAGAGCCATTTGAAATGACTGCCATCATGTTGGAGAACAGCACAGCTCCCTTTTCACCATTATCGAGGGATAAAGTTAGGAAGTCGAGTCAGCTACTTCAGAAGAATTTTCTAAAGAGAAATCTCCAGAGAGATTCCAACTTGGAAAGCAAATTTGACGATCAATTCAAGTAACAAATACAGCTGTGGCTGCCAATTAATAGTATTCCAAAAACAAAGACAAGGACTACTTGTAAATATTTAATTAATAAAAACTGGACACTACCAGCCATGCTTTTTCTTCTCAGTGATGGCTTTGTTTCATCCATAGGTCAGCAAAACGAATCAATGAAACATGAAAACTCCCAGCTGAAATGGGCCCTCTTGTTTATGTCTAGCCACTAATGCACAGGATGAGAATGATAAGTTCACAGCTATTTCCAGCAAGAGATGTGGTTTTATTAAAGTATCACCCACCACTAATACAGACAGACAAAGGTCAAGGAGCAGACGAAATGAACAAATCATTGTATAATATACATCTGAGACGTCATACTAACAACATTTGTTTTAAATTGCCCATTTACAACCTTTTTTAGTGGTCCCAAAGAAATCTGGAACATAAATTTGCCGTATTTTGTAAAGTACTGTTCAGCTCTTAAACATGAAATTTAAGAGGAAAGAGAAAAACCAATTGATACAAAAAATCTGCGTATGTAAGATATACCAACTTTTAAATATTAGCATGGGACCACATTGTTGATTTCATGGAGGTGAGTACCTTAATGAAACCATTACCTTCTAGTAACATTATAGGCTTTCCAATAAGGTGAGAATGCAAGTGAAAGACTTAAGTCTGCACCCTTTACAGAACAGCACAATGTTACTGACTAATCATTTTTCACCAGCTTAATCAGTTGTCTTAAAAATAAATGCTGACCCATGGCTGAAACCTGTTACTTTTCACAGCAGCACTCAACAAGAACTGGGACAATCGAAGAGCAAGTTTTTATGGGGACCCTGTTGCTGCTTTAGATTCTGATGTAATTGAAGAGGAAAAGAGACCCTTCAATGAATCCCAGAAAAATCACTAATCTTTTATCTGCATGAAAAAAGCCAGGGAGTGAACACAGTATTTTACAGAGTGAAGAAGGCCACAAGAACAAGAGAGGGTGATTGATCAATTAATTTATTATTTTTTAAAACTTGGAAATTCAGAAACTAAAATAATCACATTCCTCCTTCTCCATCTCTGGTAGTGCCATCATTTTAATAAGCAGTGCTCTGGTAGCAGAATATAACCGGTAGGGGGTACCCTTGTACAACAGAAGTACAAAGGGCTTACAAAGTAAGCAGACTGGCTCAGACTAACAATCACCTTTGCCTTTTTTTTTTTTTTTTTTTAAAGCAGTTTGCTTACAAATGAATGGGTTTTAGGACTAGGTTATTATTAGTTTTCAATTCCTTGTAATTTGATACCAAAACATATCAAAAATAATAAGCTAAAACAATATTCAAACCCATTATTTATTGGCTTTAATTACACACTTTAATATTTACAAAGTTAAAGTTTAAATGAAAAGTCTCTATTGTATTAAAAAAAAATAACTACAGCCTGAATTAAAGTGCCCTGGGGCAAATACAAATCAATCAGATATGGATCAGTGACTGCATCAGGAACCAGGCAGTACTCTGTGTTACAACAAAGCAGTTTATTTGTGATCAGTGTTTGAGACTCTATACATCCTTCACAAATTTAATTTTACATAATCTGATACTTCTCTTAAAACTTAAACTTTGAACTGCTAGACTTTTATTCCCTAGAACAGAAGGGCTGGTATAAGTTATTTTCCAGAAATGAGGTACCGTTTTACAGAACTGGTTTTTTTTTTGTTTTGTTTTTTCTTTTTCAAGTTTTAAAGAACTAAATTTGCATTTGTTAAAATCAAAAAGTAGGAAAGATGTTCTTTACAAATAATTTTGATCAAGTATGTGTTCAAAGAAAGCAGGATAAAAAGGCTTTTTCTCTAACATTCTGCATTGTACTGCATTGTTGCTCAATAGGAATTAGCTTCTGTCATTTGCTAAAAGAATGAGTAGTGGGGAACAGGATATGTTGGGAATTTCATAACGGGCAACAGAACCATTCTCTTGGGTAAACCTACAGAGAAAAGAAACGGAGAGGACTCCAAATAAGTTTAATAATCCAATAAAAATTTCAGGTAAAAAAAATCTTACAGTAATCATCTTAACCTTTTCCAGATTAGTCAGCCAACATCTAACTTTTTGGTAGAGGCTCACAAATTTCTCACAGATCTCCTATTTTGAAATTGCTCAAAACATTTTGATAAATAATGATTTCCCCTTAGAATGAAAATAGATACATCCTAGGAAGAATTTCATTTGAGTGAGCTGCCATGAATTCGAAAGCTCAAAAGCAAAGCTATTGATTAATATTCTAAAGTGACTCTAAAAATCCGTATTAGGTCACAGTATGACATACCACATATTACAAAAGACACAGGGACTGCCAGATTCAAAGCACAGCTTTGCTGCACAGGCCTCAGCTCCCCAGAGAGACAGCTCCAATGGGAGTAGTAAGCAGGTGTTTATCTTCTCAATGGTTACTGCCAATATTGACATGGCAAATCTGGAAAGATTAAGTACTTCCTTAATTTTGTAATTAATACGTTCTTGTGGCCTCACAGACTTCTGCATACTCAAGCATGATTTGAAATCTGCTCCTATTTCTTATTCTAATATTTAACCTACGGAGAAATCACAAAGCAGCAACAGCAGGTATTCAAGAGCACCAGATGATCAGAGGTAAATTACCCCACATGCAACAGCTTTACAAAGGCCAAAAGACATATTTACCTTACAGCCAAAAGAAAGCATCATTTTTAGTAGGTTTGCATCACAGTAACATTTAAAAACCAAATCTTTTATGTGAAAAATGGGGGCATCAAATTTTACCAGCTTTGGAAGTCAGTTATATGGCACATGGAAGAGAGGAGCCTTCTGAAGTAGGGGGGCTCAGGAGCCGCAGGGTGAGAGTATAATGTTAAAGAAGGAAAGGGAGGAACACGAGAGAAAAATTAAAAAGACTGAGGAAAAACATGAATGTAGCTCAGAGCGTAGATATTAAAGCATTTTAAAAGGAAAAATTAAGCTCTTGCAAATCTATTCTGAAGAACCCGAGACTTACTCTATGAGGTCGATAAGAAAGACCATCTTAAAAACTTGCCCTAAGAGTGACATGCTTTGGGGTTCACATAAGACATTTATCACAGTAAGTCTAGTAGGTCAAAAGTTTTCTGATAAACTGACCAAACCTAATCAACAGGAAGGATGAAGTGGTCAGGAAATCCAGAAGTTGGCTGAGTGGTAAGAGCAAATGGCCAAAGCAAAAGGAGCTAAAGAGTTTGAATTAAGAGGAAATTCTGGGTAAAGTGTATTCTTAGATCAGCCCCCAATTCCTAATCAAACACCTCTCCAGGTCAGAACAGGGGAAGCCTTGACCAAAACTCAATGTGTTAGAGGAGGCACTCAGGTAAAGGATTTAACTCCAGACCCTGCATTTTGCCTTAAAGAAAACTTGCTCCAATGTTTGACCCTTGCAGCTTTCCAGGATATAAATGGTCTATCTTAATGAGGAAAAGTGGCCAAACCATTCACTTTCTATGTATTTCCACAGTTATGAGATCAGATGAAACTTCAGTTTAGCAGTGTCTTATGGATCCATAATTTTCATCCAAACAAAAATGGAAAAGCTGATGTGTGAAGAGAAAAGAGCATAATGCAGAGGTCTTGAGGCTCGTGAGGAGGAGTGATGCCATCAAAGGGAGTATATATTAAAGGTCCTTTCCCTCTGTGTACACACATGCCCAGCTTAGGGTCCCACTGACACACACACTCACACATGTACACACACTTGATCTCCTCTCAGTGACAAACATCCTATAGATGGCTGATTCTGTAACACATAGCACCAGAGTTGAGAAAAAAATGTCTAAGGGCATATCACTGACTCCAAACCTTATTGCCTCCATTGCCACATAAACCTCATTCAAAGTTATCCAAAGGGCCATCAGGCTTCCATTATGCATTTGCTTTGATATTCTATTTGTAGAGGAAGGAGTGACATTCCTATAATTTTCTAACATGTACTGCAGACTTTCTGCAGTAAGCACTTAGATAATAACTCTGTTGGTAATACCCTCTACTACTTCCTCTCTGGGACCAATGTTACCCTGTTTACTTCACTCCCAAACCAAAATTTATGGAAAAGGATGACAGGTACAAATTTGGAGCGAGTATTTCCTATCCTTGACTCAAATCACCCACAGGACACACATTTCCAAATTAGATACTTAAATGTAGCTATATAATTGACAAGCAGCCAAGCTAGAAACTAGCTGTGGCCCTTCAGTAGCCTTTGAATGGAGTATAAGTTGGCTGTAAGAAGAACTACTCAAAATATATAATTTCAATATGGTCAGAAACAGGCAATTAGAACAAGCAGTCTTTCAGTCAGGCAAAGCAGAGAGAAGAGCAACTCCAACCAAACCAAGAACCACAAGGTTGTGGCATTTTCAAAGGGCATTTAAGTTGGGTCACTAGAATAAATAGGCCTGAGACTCTCTGATTCATTTACAGAAACCCTTGGTACAAACTGTGCTTTGGATTGCTGGGACAGAGTCGCTAAGAGGAGAAATCAGTAAGATGGTGTACATACCATAGGCAGGGGCAGCTGTGCTGTAACCATACGGTGTTCCATAACCTGGTGCAAAGAAGAAGAAAAAAGATCAGTCCAGGACAAAGAACAACTGGCACTGGCCCAATTCACAATACTACTTGGGCTCTGAGGACTCCTTCCAGATGTTGGATGAATGAGAACCACTCACAGAGTGATGCTAATTGAGTTGGATCCTTCCTTACCATGGTCTCCAAGACTCTTCCTGACCACTAGAATATCTTATGTTTCTTTCTCATTGAATTTACTATACTGTATTGTAATTATCAACTTCTTGTCTGTCTTCCCCACTAGATCAAGTCTTTTTTTTTTTGTATCATTTTAACCTAGGAGAATGTCAGACATATAAAATACACTAAATATAATTTGTTAAACAAATGAATACTTAGAACTATTCAAAATTACCAATTTCTCAAAGTTGGAAAAAAGAACTTTCTACGTCTGTTTTCAGAAAACAGTGACAGAGCAGGCTAAGACCTCAATTCCCATTTAATGAAGACACATGAATCAGATTGTAAGATCAAGGGCAAGGTCCATGACTCGCTGATCTTTGAATTCCTGGTTCCAGTAAAAGATCTGACAGAAGAGACCCCAGTAAATGTTGGTGATATTGACATTAGCAGCTAGTGCCTACGAAAAAGACTAGTATTAAGTAAAACATAGTACAAAGAACACAGACTCTTCTGGACCAATTAGTTCGGCCATCAGTTTCTTACATGTCCTTACATATAACTTCTGAGTCACCACTTTCGTAAAGGTAGAATACAAAATCTCCCAAGCTACTGTGTAGTGTTACTGTAGAGACTAGAAATAGTATGTTAACAGAAGCTCCTATCTTTAATCTTTCAGTAAAACAACTTTAAAATATATCAATAAAAAATCACTTGGATGAATCTCTAGGAAAAACTGGTTTCTAAGCCTAACAAGGGGACACAATCTACACAGGTCCTTCACGATGCACCCAAACATATCAAGCTTTTTCACATTACAATCTCTTTTTCTGCACACCATTGCTGCTGCTCAGAGGCTCTTTTCTTTGTCTATGTGACCAACTACTATTCATCCTTGAGATCAGGGTCAAATATCACCACCTCTGGGAAGGTTCCCAGGCTTGCTGATCATGCTTTTGCCCACTCCATTTACAGCTTGCATCATATTGCACTGTGTTTATTAAGTATCTGATCCTATTCCATATGACCAGGAGCATTCTTTCAGGCAGAGGCTAGGTCTTAGTCATCTTTGTGTGCCCAGTTTGAAATCTTCTGTTGGGAAGAAGCACTGAAACAATGTATGCTGAATAAATGAACCGCTTTTGGGGACTGACAGAAACATTTCCTGAGAGAGAAAGAGTTTTTACATTTTTAGTCCCTGTTGTTGTTGTTGTTATGTGCCGTCAAGTCGGACACGACTCACAGCGACGGCTCCTTGCGTTTCCAAGGCAGGATCACTACAGAAGTAGATTGCCCCATCTTCCTTCCAAGGAGTGGCTGGTGGGTTTGAACCGCCAGCCTTCTGGTTTACAGTCAAGTGCCTTAGGCACTATGCTACCAGAGCTCCTTTTTAGTCCCTGTTGTTGTTGTTGTTATGTGCCGTCGAGTCAGCCCCGATTCATAGAGACCCCTCCTTGGGTTTCCGCGGCAGTATCACTACGGAAGTAGGATTGCCCACCTTCCTTCCGAGGAGTGGCTGGTGGGTTTGAACCACCAGCCTTCTGGTTAGCAGTCAAGTGCTTTAGCCACTATGCTACC